GGACACTGACCTGGCCGGACACACTGACCCAGTCAGACACACTGACCTGGTTGGACACACTGACCTGGCTGGACACACTGACCCAGCCAGACACACTGACCTGGTCAGACACACCGACCAGAATTGCGGGAACACCTCGTGCTCCTCACTCTCCCTTCACACACGTTACCACAGGGAAGGACATTCCACGAGCACCACAGACATCACAGCAAAAACAAAGGGGTTCTGAGGAAGCCCCAGGGCTGGAGCCGCCCGTGCTCGGAGCCGTGGGAGGAACTGTCACACCCCGGGGCAAAGCCCCTCCCGATGCTCAGGTGAGAATCTCCCTGACAGCAGCTACTCGGCTCCCTCTGTGTCAAGCTCCACGAGCTCACTCCCAAGGGAATGATTTTCCAGGCCTTGGATCGCTAAGGAGGTGGCTCTGGACACCTGCCAGGTGGGTTCCAGCACAGCAGCGGGTCCAGCTCGGGGGCAGAGGAGCCCCCAGACCCAGGTGACCCCACACCCTCACCCGTGTCACCTGTGCCACCAGCACGGCCTTCCCGGGAGCAGGTGCTCCAGGCCGGGCAGATCCCGTGTCCCAGCTCCAGGGGCTGCCCCTCACCTGGCTCTGCTCTCCCCCCACGGTGTGACCCCCAAAGCCCTCTCTGGGCAGGGACACCAGGGGTGCCCACCCGGAGCTGGGAGGGGCCGTGTCCCTCTCCAATGTTGTCACAAGGTACAAAGTGCAAAAGTGTTGCTGTTCCTGCATCCATTAAAAAACTTTAAAAACAGAACAAAACAAACAGAAAAAGGATTTCCATAATCAATTGAAAATACATTAAGTCTCCAAAAAGCCACCAAAGCCCTGGTCACCTCTGTGTGCTCTGGGTCCTGCTGGGCAGCAGAGCCATGGGCAGTGTCCTCTCTCCGGACACACCTGGACCACACCCAGCAGGGACATTGGCCGGGCTCGGACAGGAGAGGCCAAGTGCTGACCCAGCCCAAACGCTGCTCTGAACCACCAGACTCCATGGGAGAGCAGGGAGCCACCCCTGGAATGCAGAGACACCTCACAGCACATCACCCCTTGGCCTCTGGCTCGGGACACCACGGCCTTCCCTCCCCCCCCAGACCTGCACCTCCAGCCCTCCCTGCTCCGTCCCGTGGAAGTGTTTGCATTTCTCCTCCTATGAAATGTTTCTGATAAGGCTTTATTGCTATACAAAAGCGGTGCAAAGGCTGCCCGAGGACAGCTCCATCAGGAACTTTGGTCACACGACTGCGGGACTCTTGTGCACTGTCCCCGTCCCGGCGTTAGACCTGCTACCTTTCCCAAGAGAAGCTGAATACTGTGTGCAATAACACTCGGAAAATAGGACTTGAACCCCAAATACAAAACAAAAACGAGGGAGACGGGGAAAGGGGACAACTCAAATCAGGCAGAAGGCTTTGCTTGGGAAGAGCCCGTCATTCCTGTGAGGACTAAACTGCTCAATGCTACATTTGGACAATGCAAAGTGTCTCTCCGGACAGACCGTTGGTGTTGGAACTGCGTGTCTGGTCCTCAATGCCAGCTCGCTCTCATCAATGCAGCATTTATTAAAAAATAAAATTAAAATGGAAAAAAAAAATAATAAGAATTGACAAATTGCATCACCAGGAGCAGCCTGGCCTGGGTCACACACGTCCCGTGGCAGCGGCGGCATCAAGCGGGGCCGTTCAACGTGGCTTCGGCGCAGGGCAAGGCCTCTTCTTTCCTGGGGAGAAACCCAGAGCAGCATTAGGGACAGGGAACTGCTGGGACACGCTGGCTCCTAAGGCTTCCTCCATCCCGGCTGCAAATTCACCTCTCTGGTGGGATCTGAGCCACCCTTCCTCTAGTTTTGTTTCTCCTGCCTCCTAAAGTGTCACCAGTTTCCAACAAGAATCTTCTCAGAGTCCTTCACAAATTAGGACATTGAAAAATCACAGTGGAGCCATGGAATGGTTTGGGTGGGAAGGCACCTTAAACCCACCCAGTTCCACCCCCTGCCAAGGGGATTAGGGGGATAGAGCAGCTCTCCTATGAGGAAAAGGCTGGGAGAATTGGGATTGTTCCCCTGGAGAAGAGAAGGCTCCAGGGAGAGCTGAGAGCCCCTTCCAGGGCCTAAAGGGGCTCCAGGAGAGCTGGAGAGGGACTGGGGACAAGGCATGGAGGGACAGGACACAGGGAATGGCTTCCCAGTGCCAGAGGGCAGGGATGGATGGGATATTGGGAAGGAATTCCTGGCTGGGAGGGTGGGAGGCCCTGGCCCAGGTTGCCCAGAGAAGCTGTGGCTGCCCCTGGATCCCTGGAAGTGTCCAAGGCCAGGCTGGACAGGGCTTGGAGCAACCTGGGCTAGTGGAAGGTGTCCCTGCCCATGGCAGGGGTGGCACTGGCTGGGCTTTAAAGGTTTGTCCCCACAGACAGCCCTCAGCAGACCCAGCCTGTCCCCACAGGGCAGGTCTGTCCCCACCCTCACCTGTCTTTCGTGGCCGTTTCCGTGACGGTTGTGACGACAGTGGCCACTTTCTGGTGCCCCTCTGAGTGTGGGGCCACGTTGTTGAGGGTGTTGGGGGCCTTGGGTGACCCCAGGTCAGCGATGGCCATTTTCTCCACCACCACAGAGTCGGTGTCACTGTGGGAACAGGGCAGGGCCACGTTAGAATGGCAGCTGAGCTCAGGGTAAAGCCAAGGTCACACCGAGAGGGGAACGAACGGGGCTTAAACTCCAATGGAGGACAAAATCCTCCTCCTCTCCCGCAGAGAAATGAGAACTGGGACTGAAACGCAGTGTCCTGGAGGCTCTGGGTCCTAAAACCAACAAGATACCCCAAGCAGGTCAGTTCCCCCAGGCAGGCATTCCCATTTCCTGCTGCACAGTCTGCTCTGAGGGTTCCCAGAGCTGCCACTCTGCCTGCCAAGCTCAGCTCTCCCTCAACTGCTGCTTTGGCAAAGCCTGTCCTGCTCTGACACGGGCACTGACACTGCTCTGCTCCACACACTCCTCCCAAGTGGCCCCTGAGGCTTCTGTGGGCACCTGGAAAACACCAAATTTAAGGACAGCACCTAAGATCCTGTGGAAGAAAAGCCCATGGACTGGATGTCCAGGAGCAGAATGTTCAGAAGCCAAACCCATGAAATGAACTCGCTCTGGTACCACAGAGGTGCCACAAAGCAGGGTCCTACAGCAAAACAGGGCCTCAGATCCTGGAAAAGGAGAAACTGTGGGCACAGACCCTCCAAATCTCCTCTGTTGGGACTGAAACCACCCACATTTCTAACTGGGGAAGGGATTTCTGTAAAATTTTGGCCTCCCAGGCAGAGGAGGAGCTTCCCCACGAACCATCTTCCCCCCAGGTTTCATCACTTCCCTCCCTCTCTTTCAGAGAGCAAACCTTCCCAAACAGCAGGAAAGCTCAGGGATGGCTGAGCTGCAATCCTGTTACCAGCTGCCAGGGGAGCTTTCATGGAATAAAAGAATCACAGCCTGGTAACGAGACATGTGATGGAGATTTGAGATCAAGGTTCTATTTCTGCAGCTGCTTTTCTTGAAAAAAACACAACCATAAAAATGAGGAATAAGGAGATCAAAACACTTCCCTTCCTCAAGGGCTCACATGCTCTTCAAAAGGAACGACTGCAAGTACAAAAATACACCTTGGAGAGAGGACAGGGACAGAGGAGACAGCAGAGAACTGAGCTGAATTCCCAGGAATGTCATTAGGAAACCACTTCCCACACAAGAAACTGGAGCTCGTGAGATTCCACTGGCTCAAAGATAAACTTAAAATCAACCACTGAAGTTTCCATGACACGAGGATTCCAGTGTTACCTGACCACTGAGGGGGACAAGGAAATTCCTCTCCCTTCACCAGGCTCCTGGAAAATCACAGCTGGGCACGGAAAACTCCACCAGGGACACGAACAGACAAACCAAGGGGTGACACAAGCCCAGAGGGGGAGTTTGTGTGGGGCTGTGGCCCAGGTAGGAGGTTGATCACAAGATCTAATGCCACTCTAGAACAAACTCTGGTACCTATAAATACTTGGCATCAGTGTCCCAGTCTCAGCTGGTTTTAGCAGCTCCCTGAGTCCATAAAGGCCTGTCTGGGGTGAGCTGACAGAGAAGGGAAACCAACAGTGACAGAAGGGACAGAAGGTGTCACCTGTGCCCTCACCTGAATCCCAGGATCCCTGAGGCTGGAAAAGCCCTCCCAGTCCATGGATCCACCCTGGGCCCCATCCCCACCTTGTCCCCCAGCCCAGAGCACTGAGTGCCACGGCCAGGCCTTCCTGGGACACCTCCAGGGATGGGCACTGCAAACCTCCCTGGGCAGCCCCTGCCAAAATGAGATGCTGAGACTAATTAATGATCTGCATCTCCCAGACTAAGGGTCTGTAAGGAATTCTGGCTGTGGCCCCAAATGATCCAAGAGCTGTAGGTATAGCATACAGTTCCAACAAACTGCTGCCCAGCTGCTCACAAATCCCAGGATGTGCCCCAGCTTTTCCTGGCATTTTGTGGTTTTTGTCATTTTATTGGCTTTGACACTGAGGGGACAATATTAACCCTTCCCCTGCCCAGCTGGACACTGACCCCAGCTCAGCCCTCCCGGGGGGGGCTTTGCTCCCCTTTTCCGTGTGACCCCACCCTGAGCCTGGATCCTCCTTTCTGACACTGGAACCCCCCAGAGATCCCTTCCCACCTGGAGATCCCTTCCCACCTGGAGATCCCTTCCCACCCAGAGATCCCTTCCCACCTGGAGATCCCTTCCCACCCAGAGATCCCTTC